ATGGTTGTTAACTGCAAAATTTAATTTGTCCAATGTTTGTCTTTTAACAATTGTGAAATGATCACCACAATCAAGTTCATCAACATGCCCGTTACCTCTACATAGTTACTATTGTGTACACACATATGTTTCCATGTGTCTGCAAGTAGTGAGAAAATTTGAGATCTTCTTAGCAAATTATGAGCATACAATACAGTATTGTTAACTGTTTTCACCATGCTATACATTAGTTCTCCACAGCACATTTATTTTGCAAAATTGAAGCTGTGTACCCTTTAACCTACATTACCCCATTTGCACCTTCCCCCAGCTCTTGGCAACCACTGTTCTACTCTCTGCTCCCATGATATTTACTATTTGATAGTCCACTTGTTAGTGAAATCATGTAGTTCCCATGATGGGCTTATTTTGAGGCGTTGAGAAAATCACCATCTCTCTGTGCTCTGGTATTCTGAGCTAGTCTTGCTATGAAAGATTCTTTCTAGGTAACACATGGTAAAACATTCCAGAATTTAATGGTCCTCTTCCCAGAAGAAAGCAATAAAAGTTGTAATAGCCAAAAAAGTGTTTCATTTAACTGGCTTTTGGAAAAAGGTCAAGATAATCCTAACTTCTGAATATTATGCTTCCTGGCTTCTGTTGCTAGAAAACAACCCACACACACACCAAAACCAAAACTAAAAAATGAAATCAAAACCAAAAACCCAGTTTCTTGTCTTACAGTCTGCAAGAATGTTAGCACTTGCAAATTTTAAGATACAGATAAACTAAACAGAGCTGTTCAAGTTTGTTTTTTTTTTTGAGTTGGGGTCTCATTCTGTCACCCAGACTGGAGTGCAGTGGCCGCTCCTGGCCACCGCAGCCTCGACCTGCTGGGCTCCGGCGATCCTTCCGCCTCAGCCTTCCAAGTAGCTGGAACTATAGGAGCATGCTACCACACCTGGCTGATTTTTTGATTTATTGTAGAGATGAGGTCTCGCCTGCCGAAGTGGGTCTCGAACCCTGCGGGCTCAGGCAATCCACTCACCTCAGCCTCCCAAGGCGTGGGATTACAGGCTGAGCCAACGAGCCCGGGTCAGAGCTGTTCAAGTTTTTAAGGGCAGCTTGGAATATGAAGAATGCAAAGTTAGATAGCATACCATGACACATATAACTATTCTTCTTTTTACTTCCATCCTTACAGCTTTCCTCCTATCCATTATTTGGACAATTTTATACCTAATTTAATCACCTAACCTTTTATTTGTTACAAGAACAAGTTACTATGTTATTTTAAGCTGTGTTGGGATATAACATAAAATATCATAAGATAGACAGGGTTAGGGCTATCTCCAGGATCCCAGCCTAGAGCGAGGCGTAGAAGAGTGTTCTCTCTACGGCTCTTCCTACAATGGGATGTGGGAGAAGAGAAGCGTTATTGTTAGTAGAATGGAAGGAATCAAAGTAAGGCGACTGATCCTTGCATTTTGGCATCCCTCAGTTCATTGACAAGAGAACCCAGAGGGAGGCAGACATAGGAACGTTTCTATAATTACAAGCTCTGATACATGCTGAAAGCCAGCCAACCACGAGGAACCCGCCCCCTCCAAAGGCTAAGCCTAGGCGTGGCTCCCACCTAAAATGGCGCTCCCGCCTAAGAAGGCTCCCGGACAAACTAACATGGAGGCTCAGACAAGGCTCTCTGGGTTCTTCTTCCACAACAAACCCACCGTTCTCACGCCCGGGAAACCCCCTGCCAATCCCAAAAATACCTCACCTGCCGACCAATAGGTAGCCGACAGGTCGCTTGAAATTTCTATAAAACCTGCCACACCCCTGCCTCCATGCTGCAATCTGATTCTCAGGTTCTGTAGCCACCGTGCTCACCCCCACTAAATCTCTTGGCCTTAAAGGGTGTTGAGTCTCACTGCGCGCCACCGTCTTTCACATGCTGGAAGGAAAGGTTATCAAAACTGGCAAGAGTACAAGGGGTGAAGTGGGGCTGCCCCAGTTCTCCTGCCTTTGCTTACAGTCTGGGCAGTCTGGAAAGACTCCCCTGAGAAAGTGACCTTTGAACTGAGATCTGAGTGGAGACAATTAGGCTTGGAAGGGGGTGAGGTGAGAAAAGGGCCCAGAGCTTTCCACGAAGAGGGAACTGAGCAGAGATGTTGGGCGGGAAGAGGCTATGCATATTAGAGGAACTGAAAGCATGTCAGGAAAGGCTGAAGTGCAAAGCAGGTGAGTGGGGGTGCAAGGTCAACCAAAGGTAGACCCTGCATCATAGGTCAGGGTCATGCCAATAAGATGTTCTCTGTCCTAAGAATGATACTTTAGGAGATCAGGTTGAATCTAGGATGGTGGTGAGGGTAGAAGTATAGAGAAGGGGGCACAGAAAAGAGACATTTAAAAAGAAATTAATAGCTGGGCTCAGTGGCTCAGCCTGTAATCCTGCGCCTTTGGGAGGCTGAGGTGAGTGGATTGCCTGAGCCCACGGGTTCGAGACCCACCTGGGCAGGTGAAACCTCATCTCTACAATAAATCAAAAGATCAGCCGGGTGTGGTAGCACGTGCCTAGTTCCAGCTACTTGGAAGGCTGAGGCAGAAGGATCGCCGGAGCCCAGCAGGTCGAGGCTGCGGTGGCTGGGAGCAGCCACTGCACTCCAGTCTGGTCGACAGAGTAAGACTCCAACTCCAAGAAAAAAAAAAGAAAAGAAATCAACAAGATGAGTTGATGATGGATTGCACAAAAAGTGAGGGAGAGGGAGGTGTCGGAGTGCACCCAGAGTCGAAGTTGCCAAGGGTCTTTCCTCAAAGTCATCAAAGACCCTGAACCACTATTTTTGTCACTCTTTATATTTTCAGTGTGAGAGGTGGGGAGCGGCTGTCTGGGTACACAGATACACAACAGTCTGTTCTTCAAAAAAGAGGCTCATATTTGGATTGGGGATGAGAGGAGCCAGAGGAGGAAGTCAGAGAGGGCAGGCAGGAGGGGTGAGAGGAGGAGGAACAGAGTCTGGGAAGACTCCTCACCAAAAAGAGTGTGAAAACAGAGACGAGGCAGGGGGAGGGGAGAGCAAGGATCCTGATGGAAGGAAAGAGAAGCCTGCGAACACCGATATGGAAGAATCCCGGGATAGGAAAGAATCCTGGCATAGGAAAGCTGTAAAGAATCTTAGCCAACCTAGTTCAACCTGTCAATGAACAACTGAGAAAATTACTTTTCATGTTTTTACTTTATTACGGATGTGATCCTTGCCCTTGTAGAAATTTTGGAAGACACAAAAGTGTAAAGAAACCAAAGATCCCCACCGTCTTTCCACCTGAAACTATCCGCTAAAGCAAGGACTTTACTCATTTTTAAATTTTTTGAAACACGGTCGGAGTTGTAACAAATACAACTTCATGTCTGTCTTTTG